GACTTGGACGAGACGAGATTGACATTGAAGAAACGAGGTTGACATAAAAGAGACGAGGTTGACAGGGACGAGATGAGGTTGACATTGACGAGACGAGGTTGGGGACGAGACGAGGATTACTGAGGACGAAAGGTATGGCAGTCGGGGACGACTGTGCATGGGATCTCATGCTCTACCGACTGAGATAGCCGGCAGAGAGAGACAAGAGCTAAAGATCATTGCAAGTGTGAACGCGAAGATAAAGGGCCTGGGTAGCTATGGCAAATATGGGCGCAAGTAGCTACCCAGGCCAACGGAACAAAAGGTGAGCATGACGGAGTTCGGGTGCATGCAGGCCAGCTTGGAAAAGGTTGCAGGGGAGGAGGTACCAAACACATTTATATCCAATATACATACCATTCTGATGGATAACGCATAGGAATGTCTCCTCATGTGTGTTAGGGTTGGTTCACATAAGCAAAATCGGCGCCACAAGACACCGCAAGACATTAGCGGTGAGCCAGCTCCCGATCCAATGCGCATACAGTTCGAGTACCAAATCTACTACAAAGTAGTACAGAATGTGCCCAAATGCTACGAAAGGTTTGCCAATTGAAGCTTGAATTCTTAGTTTCTTCAGTAGTTCACGGTCTTTCGGTGATGACCACTCGATGCTACTTTCCTTTTATTGCAGTCTAGTAAGCGTTGGTGTCTCTCTTTCTCTCTCTCTCTCTCTCTCTCTCTCTCTCTCTCTCTCTCTCTCTCTCTCTCTCTCTCTCTCGAAATTATGCGTGCAAACGTTGATGAAGTCACACGGACTCGTCTATGTATCCTTCGTATTCATTTATTTATTTCAACTGCAAAGGTTATTATTATTAGTATTATTATCTTTATTCTCACGGTGACCGTAGCCAATAAGAGAGATACAGTACTATGTGTTATCAATCAGAATGGGTGAAATAAACCGGGAGAAACAGTGGCTAGTGGCAGCCGTGGTTTGGGTGCTTCATTTAAGTAAAGACGAGGAGGGAAGTATATCCACTGCGAAGGCAGGTAGGCGATATACCTTGATTAAAATACTATACCTAGGCTGGGCTGCAGCTGGGGTTGGAGCATGTGCAAATTGATGATACTATGATCGGGGTAACTTCTCTTTTGAATGCATTTATTTCTCGGAGGGAGTAACAGTGTGGTGGCAGGTGGTTGTACTGAGTGCATGCTGAGTACAAGGGTGAACGTTGAAGGCGGGTGGAGTGGGTGGTGGGGAGGGCAAAGACTCGATGACGCCTCAATTCTCGGCTTGGTGGCTCGGTGATGTAGCCTGAGGTCGCAAGCTGGATGTGTGGCGGGGATCGTTTGACAGCGATGGTGTGTGCAAAGAGTAGCTGCTTGAGCTTCCTGCGGGATGAGAGGGTAGGCCAAGTGACGTGGTGGAGTAACGAACTGTGGTGGCAAGGACTGAAGAGGGGGAGTCGGAGGCAGAGTTTTGCTGACCGCCGTTGGAGACGTTCGATGGCATCTTGTTGCTGAACATTCATAGCTGACATAGCCAGAGAACCATATTCGATAACGGGGAGTATATACGTGGTGTACAATGCTGACAGGGCGGTGGGTGAAAGACGTCCACGAATCCGTCTCAAGAGGTGGAGAGTGCGCGCAACTTTGCTCTCGATGTGCTGGATGTGGGCATTCCACTTCAGGTCGGCCTGAACGATGATACCCAGGTGTCGCTGGCTCTGGACTCTGTTCAGTGTTTTGCCTTTCAACGTTATTGTCAGGGGGAAAGCACCGCACAGTGTCATCACGACCGTCTTCGTTTCGTGGACGTCTTCGTTTTTTTCATTGGTTTTTCCATTATTATTAATATTCAGTTCCATCAGTGTATGACTCGCACCGCCATGCATTAGCCGTTTGTGACATTCTTCAATTAGCAAAGTTGTGATTACTCAGTGTTTGGGTATTAGGACTGGGAACTTAGACCGTAGCGGTATGTTTGCTTTTTCCAACCGTCCTTTGCACCGCATTATTTCGTTTTCATCTAGAAACAGTCCGAGTTTGTTGGCTAGATCATTTCGTTTTCCTTTCTGAATTAACTTGAGCGTGTCTGGAAATTCCGTGCGTTGCAAATGTCATAGCCAAACCATTGTCGCATTCGTGAGCTCTTGTGATGTAATAAACCCATTACATTTATTACCACGCGTACATTCGATGGCTCTCAAAACATATGCTGAGACACGTATCAGTTTTCCCCAAGACGAATACCGTTCCAAATTCAGTATCATTGGGTACTCCGTGGGACCCTCCGCCGCCGCCAGTAAGGTGTTGGCAGACTTCTCCAACTCCACGGCGTTCGCTGGAATCACCAACACCGATGGCCAACCTTTCTCATTGTTCATCCATCTGGGCCCGTGCCACCAGTTCTTGTTAATTTTCAGCGTGTCCACCGTGGCCCCGCGAGAAGGAGTGTCTGCGGGGTTTTCAGCTGCGTCTACATACCGGTACTCAACCAACGACAGAGACCGGATTTCATTCAAGCGCCGGTCCACAAATGTACCGTGTTTTTTAGGTTTCTTGATCCAATGTAACACACATTGCGAATCAGACCACAGCACCAGTCTGGGTTGTTCCGAGAAATTCAATTGTGAGAGTACAAATCGTAACGACCGAATACCAATCAAGGCTGCCATTAATTCTAGTCTCGGTATTGTTAATTCCTTGATGGGGGCTAGGCGGGTTTTACCGAACACAAGATGACAAGAGTCACAACCTGACTGCTCGTCGACAACCGCAAGGTACACACATGCTGCATATGCTGTGTGAGAGGCATCACAAAAACAGTGAAGTGTGTATGTGACTGCCCCTGGGTGTGCGACTATCATCCGTCTCAGAATTTGAATTTCGTGGATCTGCTTTAGATCACCTGTGACTTCTTTCCATTTATTTAGAATTTCTGTTGGGAGGATGTCGTCTCAGTCGCATTTCAATTTGCACAGGTTTTGAATCAGGATTTTCGGTTGCAACAGTATTGGAGATAGCAGGCCCATTGGGTCAAAGAACTTTGAGACGACCTGCAACATTTGGCGTTTGGTCCGAACGATCACGTGCTCAACGTCATGACCGGCCAGCGAAATCTGATCCGTGGGTGTACACCACTGCATACCAAGTACTGTCATGACCGTTTCAGAAACTTTGTCAACTTCTGGAATGTGAGAGAGGAAGTGGGAATTGTTCGAAGCCCATTCACGGAGGTTCATAGACGCCTCAGTAAATACTTGCTTTGTTTGATCATAAGTTCGTTTTGCTTGCAGGCTCCCTACATACTAAAGTGATGTAAATATATTTCCTGGTGTATGTGTGTTTGTGTGTGTGTGTGTGTGTATGTGTGTGTGTGTGTGTATGTATGTGTATTTGTGTGTGTGTGTGTGTGTGTGTGTGTGTGGGTATGTATGTAAGTGTGTGTGTTTTTTTGTGCATGTGTGTGTGATCGTTTGTGTGTTTGATTTTTTTAACTCCTTTGTAATGAATGGTGGTCTTTAAGCTTACACCAGATCAACTCTGTTTTAGCCACCCACACTGGTAGCAAGCAATGGCCGAAACTTCACATGATTTACGGATCTACAGAAGAGCCACAGGAAAGCGTACACAAACAAGTTATGGACAAACTCCATCAAGTTAACTTTGCCTCACCTTATACGAGTTCCTGGGGTGGGGGTCATAATCTTCCAGTTCATCATGCGGCTTGCAGCGCTTATCCAGACAGAGTAAATGTTCTACGGGACAAGACTCCCAAGTATATCTCTGTGTAAAACACCTTTAGAATTTTTTTTAGAGAACGCAGCACAACATATAATGAACGTAATTGTAGAGCATGAGAAGTTGAGAACACAATATTATTATTGCCAATTGGTCTGGTCATACATGGCAACATTTCCTTCAGAGATATGGGAAAGGGATACTTGATGTTGGCCGCACCACATCAAAGTGATGAAGCCAAGGACAGACATATGCGCACTGTGTGACAAGCTGGGGGACAAAATTCGTGTCGCCCGTACAAAGGAAGACACGGAATGTAGACTGTAGTGTCCAGGCCCTGCGTTTGCACATATCACTTGCACAAGAGGAGCGGCAGTACTACCGAGATATAGTGGACGGCGCGAAGGCGTCACTGGATGAAGCTGAGGGCAAAGTTCACTGTACATTAGACTTTGCCCAGCAACTTGAATTGTCATTTCATACTCGCCGTGTACATAAATTTGCTCTATATCGCTCAATTGACATGCCACTATTAAATAGGTGGTTATGCACATTTTGCCATCGCAGATCAACTTGAAATTTTGTTTGAGCACATTACCATACCATACAAACATTTTGAGAGAAAACATTTTCCGCCAAAAGTGCCATAGGGTGGTTTCTGTAGTCCCTGGCTCATGAATTGGGGTTTTCCACCTTAACCTGACAAAACAGTTTGTCAATTGACTTATCGGTGTACTGTTTTACTCAGAAGTAGCGACAAACTCGGCCATTTGAAAATAATCTTAACTGTCCACCTCTCCACACTGCGCTCTTCGTTATCTACCTGTGCCGGGGAACTCTTACTGAACGAAACAACTGTCTGGAGGATATGGAACATCTACTCAAGAACGAACTTCCTCGCTATGGAGTGGTGTTGTGACTGTGGGCCAAGAGTGCAGCGTGGAGAGGTAGACTGGGTAGCTTTGGCAAATATGGGCGCGCAAGTAGCTACCCAGGCCAATGGACCAAAAGGTGACAAAAGGTGAATACGACATAGTATGGGGTGCATGCAGGCCAGCTTGGAAAAGGTTGTACGGGAGGAGGTACCTAACACATTTTATCCACTATAGATACTTTTCTGATGGATAACACATAGGAATGTCTCGTCATGTGTGTTACCTGAATGTTGTGCATGAGATTGCCTCACTTCGTAGTAGATTGCGCATTACATCCAATAAAAGTACTTTTCTGATGGATAACGCATAGGAGTGTGTGTTACCTGTACACAGGACGGTAGCCTTCCTGTTCATTGCGCTGCCAAGAATGGACATCTGGAAGTAGTCAAGTATCTACTAAATCTTCAACCCGACACGATCTCTGCAAAGACAGATGTAAGTTGAGCAATCTCTATTCTTGATTCTTCTTTAGCATTTTTGTACTAGAACTCCAACCCGATACGCTCTCTGTGAAGGTCAAGGTAAGTTAAGCAATCTTTTCTTCTTCATTGACTCTCCTTGCTGTAGTCGGTTAGGCCGTTATCACACTGCGTTTGTTTGAGTCGCGTTTGCGTCTGCGTTTGAGATTGGAAAACGCAAGACGTGATATCATACTATACTTGTGATTTTCAGCGCGTTTGCGTCAAAATCTGTGCGCTCGGGAAAATACAAAAATGTGGGGAATCGATCTCAAGGTGGCCGTGGATGTTAAATTTATTTTCTTGAGATCGAGAAGTGTTCTGTTTCTGCTCCTATGTCCTTTGTCAGTGGTGCTGGGGAATGGGAGTCGATGGGAAGACTGCAGCCGTTGCGTTGCCTGTGTTGGGGTGGCAGCTCCGTTGTTGAGGCACATCGTCCAGCTAGGCTAGTCGCCGTCAACTAGTCAGCACAACTTAAGCCAGACAGCCACGAGCTCGCATCAGCTCCATGCCTCGCGAATCCAAAATCAATCAATCAGTACATGTAGTAGAAGTACCCTCGCCTGCCTCAGCAACTAGATGGAAATGAAGATTTGAAAAGCACACTTTTAAAAGAATCACTTGAAAACACTCAAAAACAATGCAGGAAGTGCTGCGATAAAGAAAGTCCGATCTGCGTTTGCGGGAATCGGTTTTGACCACCCCCCCCCTCCCCCCCCAGGTTTGCGTCTGCGTCTGCGGCTGTGCGTCTGCGTCTGCGGCTGTGCGTCTGGGCTCGCGATCACGTCACGTGATGGCATTTCCTAGGCGACCGTCAAAAACCGAAGAAAACGCAGACGCAAACGCGACTTTTGAGCGCAGTGTGATAAGGGCCTTACTCCTACAGCACTCTTCTTGCCAATGAGGACCACTGTGCTAGCTATATGTCATTTGCTGGGGAGCATCAGGCTGAAACAGCTACCAAACCGATTATTTGCTGCAAAGATACCTGTGAATAATGGTGACTCTGCTGCCCGGCAGTGATAGCTGCAAAAAGCACCTCCATTATGCATCCGGTTCACATAACCATTGGTCTCAATCATCATCAACTCAACACATGTGAAAAGGAATTTGTTTGGTGTGTGCAGAGATGTCCATAAATGACTCAAAAGAGTTCTTAGTATTGTATACTTGCGCCCATCATATGCCCCTCAACCCACAAGAGGAACATTGCAACATTACTTTGGCTCAAAAAGAATACAAACTAACCAATCTCGTACCCAGCCCTGAAGCAAGTATTTGGGGTTTCCAGCTTTAGCTTGTTAACAGTTTGTCAATTGACTTATCACAATGTTGTGCGTGAGACTGCCTCACTTCGTAGTGGATTGTGCATTATACCCAATATAAGTACTTTACCGATGGATAACGCATAGGAATGTCTGGTCATGTGTGTTACCTGTACACAGCACGGTAACCTTCCTGTTCATCGGGCTGCCAATACAGGACATCTGGAACTCGTCAAGTATCTACTAGATCTCCAACCCGGCACGATCTCTGCAAAGAACAATGTAAGTCGGGCAATCTCTATCCTTGATTCTCCTTGAGCATTTTTTTTCAAAACACGGTTTGAGCAATATATTCGATCGCAACAAGTAGCATCTAGTCACTCACGTCAGGCCGGAGCAACAGAACTTAACCTCACTGATTCCACCATCGGCCAGTAGAGCAGACCATGGCACACCATTCACTCTTGGGTCCATGCAATGGCCCTCCCTACATACTAAAGTGATGTAAATATATTTCCTGTTCTACGTGTGTTGGGGGGGGGGGGGGAGGGGGGGGGGGGTGCGTGTGTGGGTGCGTGCGTGCGTGTGTGCATACAGCAAGTGTAGTCAACTCTCTTGGCCGTTCTATGCTGATGTACTCCGTGTTTTGTAGACCATGTGTGCATTGGCGTTCGATTCTCATGGCTTCACAGGTTGTGTTGATTCGGCAGTTATGAATTTCTAGTCTTGATCAGTATCATTCAGATCTTGTCCGCTGTAGTTGCTATAAGTGAAAATCTGTGGGTGCACCTCCAGTACATTTCGCAGATTTGCGTGCTTCTCTTGTGAGGGTCGTATACTGCAAAACGGGTAATGTTTGCGTTTTACAAATTGAGACTGGCATGCGCTGTTTAATGTTTGCGAGTTGTTCTACAGTCGTTCTACACAGTCGAGTCAGTCCTTGCACTGAACTTTACATGCAGTTTGCACTGTTCAAAGTTTGCGATTCGGGGCTTCTTTCAAAATTCGCAAACATTTTTACGTCGCAATAGTTACCCGTTATACAGTACATGGTACACGGTGTGTATGCGTGTACATGTGTGTGTGTGTGTGTGTGTGTGTGTTTGTGTGTGTGTGTGTGTGTGTGTGTGTGTGTTGGGGGTGGAGTGGTTGTATGTGCATGTTTGTATGTACATGTATATATTAGGGCTGAAACGATTATATCGGTTATCCGTCTAATTGATCATAAAGCGGGATTCACAGAAGCATTTTTGCGATGCGACACACGATGTGACGGCCGCGAAACCGGGAAATCCCCTAATCGCAGTCATCTCGCGGCCCACGCAAATGCCGCAACTGGGCCATCGCAGAAGTTGAACTCGGCTCAACTTTTGCGATGCGACAAACAATTTGGTGTACGATTTTGACGTTTTCTACAGCAAAGTTGTACAAAGGTTCAAGAGTTGCCCGTAAATTTGTACAAGTTGTACCAAACCGCGCGAATACCATGGAACGTAGCCATCTGCATTGAACTTTGCGCCAAATCAGCAAGGTATCGTCGCATCTCAGACTTCCTCTGTGAATGGTATTTTGCGAGTTCGCATCGCACGCCTTCGTCGCAGATCGCGTCTCATCGCCCATCGCATCGCAAAAAAAAGCTTCTGTGAATCCCGCTTTACAACGAAGCGATTTCGATTATGCTGTCTATTTCGATTACGCGATTCTAAAAAAATAAAAATAAATAACGTGTACAAGATGTCATGCACATGACTGTACCAGTGTGCTGATAGTGCTCAACACCGCGAAGGCAGAGCGTAATACAAAACATCAGGAAACATGATTGCGAGAGCATGAAACTTGAAGTAGCAGCAAACAAGCCTTGATTGTCCTTGTTGTTTCGTACATAAGTAATTGTAGAGGCCAAATACCTTGGTTTATTGATAGATGACCATCTCACCTTCCCGCAACAGATAGTCACACAAGGACTCACCATCCCAGACACAAAGGCACAACTGGGGACAGGTACAGTTGTGGCAAGTGAAATCCGACACTTGGCATAAGGGACTGCACCGTGCAGTCTGCAGCCCCCTGCAGCCCTGAATACGTACAGTACATGTGTTACATACAACTTTATCTGTCTGATGACAAAACTCGTACTCATCACAGTCAAGGTTCAAAAGGTGCTGGCAAAAATGGATGGGGATTGGATACCAATACTCCTTATGTGTACCATATTTGTGAACTGTGTGTATCTACGCTGTGACCTTTCGATCTGTTCGGGATGCATACGGCTCTATAGTACAAATTAGGTGCAGTGCATTACATCATTGGTGTCCATTTGTGGCGCTGTCCCCTATGGCAAGTGTCGGATTTCACTTGCCACAACTGTACTAGTAGTGGGAAGACATTTATCATAGACGGAGAGAAAGAGGAACTAAACGACTACATTGTGAAAGAGAGAGAGATCCGAAGAGAGTTGAGAGAGAGAGATCTGAAGAGAGTTGACGCAATATATAGGGCCTGGGTAGCTATGGCAAACATGGGTGCGCAAGTAGCTACCCAGGCCAACGGAACGAAAGGTGAGAATGACGTAGGTGAGAATGACGTAGCACGGGCGGAGGTACCTAACATACCACCCCTCCATGAAAAAAAACCCTCATCCTCGCGAAGAGAAAAAAAGAGAGAAAAAGATTTTAAAAAATGACTGAAGGAGAAAAAATAAACACACACACACATATTGCACGCGCGCACGGATCTCACAAAAGTGTGTACTAAAAATGCACTTCATTTACAACGTTCCTGTACTACTTATAGTGTGTAATAAGTATTGGAGTTTGACGAGGAACGTGAATTACTAGTATTTTGCACGGCTAATACAGCCTAGTTACACTTTTGCTATACATCCAAAAATTAGAGCGTGGCTCACCATGATCGGACCCCTAACTTGGTAATGTTTTATGAACACACGCGCACACACACACTACAAAAAAATTCACGAAACAAATAAACCGAAAATATATTTGACGAAGAAGGAACGCATACAAAAAAAAGAAAGAGAGAAAGGTAGCTGACCTGCATGGCGAGACGAGGTGGAAATAGGCGAGACGAGGTTGACAGAGACGAGACGAGACGAGGTTGACAGACACGAGACGAGACGAGGTTGACAGAGACGAGACGAGACGAGGTTGACAGAGACGAGACGAGGTTGACAGAGACGAGACGAGACGAGGTTGACAGAGACGAGACGAGACAAGGTTGACAAAGACGAGACGAGACGAGGTTGACAGAGACGGGACGAGACGAGGTTGACAGAGACCAGGTTGACAGAGACGGGACGAGACGAGGTTGGCGTAGGACATACTATAGTGATGTAAATATATTTCCTGGTGTATGTATGTGTGTGTGTGGGGGGGGGGGGTGCGTGCGTCAGTGCGTGTGTGTGTGTGTGTGCATACAGCAAGGATAGGCAACTGTCGTAGGCGTTCTATGCTGATGTACTTCGTGTTGTGCAGACCACATGTGCATTGGTGGTCTATTCTCATAGCTTCACAGGTTGTGTGGATTAGGCAGTTATCTGGCACTAGTCTTGATCTGTCTCATTCAGATCTTGTCCGCTATTGTTGCTAGAAGAGAAAATCTCCAGTACATTTCGCAGATTTGCGTGCTTCTCTTGTGACGGGCATATACATGGTACACGGTGTGCATGCGAGTACATGTGTGTGTGTGTGTTGGTTGTGGGGAGGGGGGGGGGGGGGGGGGTGGGGATATGTGCATGTTTGTGTGTACATGTACAGTGCGTATCGGTTATAGCGTGGTCGTGTAAAAGAATATACTGTCTACAAGAATGAACTCTCATGTTTTCATAATCATAACATGGATTTCAAGTGCACATTTATTCTTACAAGCAATTTTATCGTACAGTAGAATGTATCGGTCCTAAGAATGGACTTTGTGTAGCATAACATACCAGATCAGTACAAAGTATATCGCCTGTAGTAATAATTTCCGTCCAATTCAGTTCCGATCTGACTCACTTTGGGTCGTAGTGCTGCACGCCTGCAGGTTCAACTGTTGTGGTCATGTAACTCATGTTGCATAGCCACATGGTAAGCCTATGTCACAGTATGTGACTACAACCAGCCGCATGCACCGTAACACTACATAGTCATTGCATGTACGATGATCTTCCTGCCTCTGCGCACATGCACATGATATGTGACACTTGATTTATCGCGTGTAAGAAATATCGGAAATAAGAATAGAAAGTCATTTTTCAAACACCCAAGCTATAACTGATACCTACTGTATAATTATATTAGGGCTGAAACGATTATATCGGTTATCCGTCTAATTGATCATAACGCGGGATTCACAGAAGTATTTTTGCGATGCGACACACGATACGACGGTCGCGAAACCGGGAAATCCCCAAGTCGCAGCCATCTCGCAGCCCACGCAACTGCCGCAACTGGGCCATCGCAGAAGTTGAGCTCGGCTCAACTTTCGCGATGCGACAAACGATTTGGCGTACGATTTTGATCTTTTCTACAGCAAAGTTGTACAAAGATTCAAGAGTTGCCCGGAAACTTGTACAAGTTGTACAAACACGCGCGAATACCATGGTGACGGACCCGCCTGCATTGAACTTCGCACCAAATCAGCAAGGTATCGTCGCATTGTGGACTTCTTCTGTGAATGGTATTTCGCGAGTTTGCATCGCACGCCTCCGCCGCAAATCGCATCGCTTCGCCCATCGCATCGCAAAAAAGCTTCTGTGAATCCAGCTTTACAACGAAGCCACTTCGATTACTGTAAACCGGGAAATTTTCGCGAGTTTCGCGATCACCGCCAAAACGCGAATTCGAATCGCCGCGAACTGAAGAATTTGAACGGAAGTAGTGCATCACGTTCTACGCTGGTCAGTACTACAGTCAGTGTACATGACTGTCTGTAGCTGTGTGCATGCCTTGTCTATGTGACTGTACTATCATGTACAAGACTGTCTGTAGCTGTGTGCATGCCTTGTCTATGTGACTATACTATCATGTACATGACTGTCTGAAGCTGTGTGCATGCCTTGTCTATGTGACTATACTATCATGTGCATGACTGTCTGAAGCTGTGTGCATGCCTTGTCTATGTGACTGTACTATCATGTACATGACTGTCTGTAGCTGTGTGCATACCTTGTCTATGTGACTGTACTATCATGTACAAGACTGTCTGTAGCTGTGTGCATGCCTTGTCTATGTGACTGTACTATCATTTATCGCACCCCACGTGAGTGTCTCCATGGTTTGAGC